AAAAATGATTTCGCGAAAACAAGTAATAACAGATCATAACTAAAACTGACTTCACTAACAACATATAGATATATAAATGCAATGTAAAAGCAAACGGAACGAGCAGCAAAGGAGATGAATTCTCGATTACTTTCCAACCCTGGAATGGCAAACCTATTGGTTTGTTGCCGTAGTCACTACCCTCGCAGGACTTAAAGTATGGACTCAACATCGCAGCAGAGGAAACCTTTGAAACACACCAATGACCAACCCAATTTTAATCTCACCTACCGATCCTAATCACTTGGCACTTCACACGTAAAGATCAAACGTCATCTTGCGCGTAGTCTCGTTCTGAGCTTAACGAAATCGGCACATCTTTGCATCGATCTAGAATCTTCACTCGATCACTCAAGACGACCCACGACCAAACGAGACCCACTTCTAAATCAACTTCTCTTCTTCTCTCTACAACAACAAAAACATCTATTCTCCCTCAACTAAGCCACTGCTTAAACCTCTCAAAAGAAAACTACTCTAACCGTCCTTCACTAAAATAAACAATTTAAAAAGTTATAACTCTCTAAACCCGGATGGGTGGAACCAGTTCTAAACTAGTATTTATATTCAATTATAATTTTGATAAAATTATCCCTGTAGAAAATTACTAACAAACCAATCATATTCTATCACTAACACTGACAAATATTTGTAGTGATGAAACTACTTGTCGTTTCAGCTACCAGAACAATTTGAAAAAATCTTAGTACACAATTGTTCTCCTTTTGGACTAGCTCCATATTCTAACTCGCAAATACCAGTACACACGAGCTTTATTGACACTAGGAAATTTAAGAGTAAGATTAAGATTGGTATTAGACTAAGAAGTTGCACAAATCTATCCGGCCGAAAATAGCATAGCGTGACGAATAGACGGTGTACCTTATCTGAAATTACTCTAAGAGAAAGCTATCTCTGGCTTAAACTCTTCTGATATATGAGCAGACTTGTTTTTTGTACTGGTCTTACACGATTTGTTGAATTACTCGAAGTGCGAAAAACTTTAAAATCAATTTTTTTTCTATGTTGGCGTGACTAACAAAACTGTCAGCCTTACAAAAAAGGAAGATTTATGATATTGCCTATGAATAGTGATTGGTTAGCATTAAATTCTGGCGATAAAAGCAAGGCATAAGAAAGAAATTTGCATAAGAGGCTGCCCGTACTGAACTTTTTGTGCCATTTCACGGCTGATCATCCATTTAGCAGGGGAGAGAATATTCTCAGGACTGTTCCCCCATTATGCAGGGCTGTTCACAAGTGAGCATGCGTATTTTTCTACAGACGTGGTCGTACCTGGATCTTACATGATCAGACCTGAGTGAAACATGTTCATACCTGTCGCAGACATGATAACGACTGACTGAAAACTTGACATATTCACTTCGTATCTTGACTAATTGGTCTTTATTGTTAAAAATTCACTTTTTCAGATTTTTTTTGAAATGAGCTTATCCAAATTTACCTCCTCGAGTCAAATATCTTCAAATGAAGAAAATTATGTCGCATCTACATCCCAAAAGAGAGGACGTCAGGTTAGTTTCAGGGGATCAACGAGAGGGATAGTCGAAAAAACTAAGAATCCCCGGTTTGAACTATAAAGCATTGAATTGAAGCAATTCGTCACAAAATTTTTTGGCCAATAATCCTTCAATTTTCGCGAACCAGTAGCCGCAAAAATTGCGAATAAATTAAAAAGATTTGATTGGTTGATACTGATGATCTCATTGAATAAATTAACAACAAATGTGCGACTACTTTTTAACGCATGATTTTTGCAAAATTTGATTGGAACATAAAAATCTTTAAATTTTCGCAAACCAGTAGCCACAATACTTGCGAATAAATTAAAAAGATTTGATTGGTTGATACTATTAATCTCATTGAATAAACTAAAAACAAATATGCGACTACTTTTTAACGCATGATTTTTGTCTAACTTTATTTGTTAAGCATTTATTTAAAGTGATGAAGTTTTGACTAACAATTTTTTTTATGTTGACAGGAAACAGAGAAAAGTATCCACACGCCCCGCTACTAACGACTCCCTGCTGGCAATTAAAGAAAGATGCATCTAACGACTACAGTAAATTTTCAACAAAAAACTTCACCGATGTCAGAAAAAATTTGAAAAAAAAACTAAAAATTTGAAGTAAAGTGTCACATTATCAAGCTGAGTTTATGATGTTGTTACAATTTAACCATTTCTTTAATTATCTTATAATACTGAAGATACCGATTTGAGCATATTCGGTTCAGGCATGGCCATGTATCCTGCAGATGTGAGCATGTTTAGTTCAGGTATGATCATGTATCCTGCAGGTGTGAGCATGTTTAGTTCAGGTATGATCATGTATCATGCAGGTGTGAGCATGTTCAGTTCAGGCATGATCATGCATGCTGCAGGTGTGAGCATATCTTCAGTTAGCACACCTGATGCAGGTCTGATGCAGGTATGTGCATGCCGAATATAGACATGCTGCACATCTGTTACAGACATGAATTTTGCATGATTTTACAATGATCAGATATGATTATGGCCAAAAAGTTCGGTACGGGTGACGAGTTGCAACTTGACAGTAACCAATCATAAAAATACAGATTATCTAACACGGCTCTCGCTGGGATCTCTTTTAAAAAACATGAAATTGCGGCAAAATTGGCACCGATAGTTTTTTCATCAAGTTCAACAGTTTTTTTCAACGGTTTCATTTAAAACAAAACAAATGTTTCAAACGTCTGCTCAAACATAAGCGGAAATTTTTATGCCAAAGAAAGGTCCTGAAAACTCCTACTGCTTTTTATCTGGTCTAAAATGTTTGAAATTTAAAAAAAGTTTTGGAAATTTACAAATTGAATTTTGTTTGTTTTCCTAACTCAACAGCCAGAATAAAAAAAACTAACATTAAAATCTGATTCGATTATGACTTAAAAGCTAATTTCAAATCACTTGGGAGTTTTTTGAGTGCTTGTGAGTTCGCCACCCACAAATATTTTGCGTTACGCCATCACTATCCTAGAGAAAACCTCAATGCTTTTGCTTTTTCTCCGTAATTTGTATTTTGATTGCCAAAACTGACCTGAAATAAAAAAAAAAGACGCCACAAAAGATATACTATAAGGAAGAACGTGTTATTTACTTACTTAATTTGTGCATAAAATGGTGGTAGAGTACTATCAAGTTTTAATCACAAAGAAAATCAAACTGTTTTTGTGCTCGTTTTTGTTTTTTCTCTCAAAACAACTGCCGAGTTTAATTGGGGCAAGCAATGTGATCCAAATGACGAATCATTCAGAGAAATTTATCACTTTTACATAATTTTTTGTTAGGACGAAGGTTTGCAAAAAAAATGATTTTATGATTTTTTTAAAATTAGTTTTATATTTTTTTCCAGCCAGAAAATAGTTCAGATACTTAAAGGTCCTTCGGAACATCCAAAGCTTCGACCTGATGCGAGCAGTCTTAAAAATGTTATAAAGCATTGTTAGAGTTTAATAGAAAAGGCACATATAAAAAAATCAAAACCGAGTCTGATCAAAGAGAACATTGGATAGCTCTTTACAAAAACAAGCTTAATTTATTGAAAAACCATTAAACGAAATAGCAGTTATGAATAGCACTTGGCATTTAGAGCAAACTTACATATTCTAGGGGCAGTTGAGTCGTTTCCATTTTCTGCTGCTGCCATTGGTATCCGGGTCCTTAACTGCCTGATGGAATTTGAGTTGGTGTATACGAAACCAGGGTTCATTTGATTGCCTATACAAAAATCCCCTGCAACCCCGCCCAACAATGAATCTGCTTTCTCGTTCTCTTTTTCCTTTTCTTCTTTTTCCTTTTCTTTGTTCTTGACGATGCGTTGCTTTTTCTTATGGTATCTTAACAGTAACACATATGATACGAAACGAAGTCTTGCGAAACCCAAAAAATGTCAAAATCTCATTCAAAGTGAGCGTGATTTAGTGTAATTTGTATATTCTACTGTTTCTTTTAAGCCCTCAGTAGTAAAATAATCCGACATTACTCCAATATGAAGGGGGTGGTACATCAGGGTTCGGTACCGTGGGAAAACCAAAACCACAACTGGGGCTCGAAAACCCTTTTAATCCCAAATATGCTTTATCATTGAGAGTATCATGTAGCAAACTTTAAACAGGTAGTAAATATCCTGTGACATAACTTTAACCAACGCTAATTTTTTCCGGTTCTGCAGGTTATCTAGTAGCTTATGGTAGCGAGTAATAGGTACAAAAACTCTAACCAAACATCTATCAACAATTCTATCCAAGCATTTTGATATTTTCATTGACTATTGTTTCAAGCTTGTTCTTTTTTGAAGCTGTTGGTCATCTTTTCAACCATAATATCACTTTATATCTAATTTCAAGCAACTTTTGAGTTTCTTGATTCCACAGAACTAAAATTTGCGAGATTGTTTATGTTCAACTAAATGCTGTTATACAATTTATGCCCTCAGTACTAACAATATTTAAAAAGAATTCAACCTGTCTATAAAAAATTTGAGCCAAGTTTTGTCAAGTGAAAACAAACAATCAAAGCAATCAATCGAAAAATAAGCGAATAATTCAGCAAAAACCATCAAGCTTTTTTACCTATAATTTGTTTGCTTCATAGAAAATAAAACTGTTTGAAATTGAAATGGAACCACTTAACAGCTACATATACAACGCCAAAAGCAATATGTTGTGTCTGGAGGGAGATCCTAAAGAGCAGTACTGTTCGTCGAGTAGCATATCTTGGAGAGTGAAGAGAAGACAGTCAGCATCGAATCAACAAAAAAATAACTTGTGATATTTCATGTATTTTAACAGGTATCAAGTCATTTGTTTAAAATAGTTAAAAGAATGCACAATTCTAATTGTAAGTGATCTTTGTCTAGCGGTAGTAGAAAACTTCGTCACATTAAATGCGCCTTTCGCTTTAATCCTGGCACCTGGTCCATCTTTTTTCGGAGTGAATCTGAGACAGAAAACCATTTATTCTACCCAATTGCAGTTCCATAACCAAATATTTGAACATCTCAAAAAATATAAATCAAAAACAGTAAGCAATTTGTTTTCGTCGATATTTCATTGATTGATTCATGAATGTATATTTGAAATAAATTGCTCTCAAGACTCTTTTTCGTAATTTCAATATCTCGGTTAGGTGAGATCGGAACGTATTGTCGTAAGTGATTGTAGAAACTCTATAAGCTTTGTAAAAGCGAAGCATCTGCTGTTTAGAAAAAATATAATTAGCTTTCTGGACAATGCCGGAAATTTAGTTATTTTACTGCACAAATGATCAGTATAAAACTTGGAGTTAGTTTACTATCAACAAAAAAGCTTAAAAATTCACAAATATGTGTAATTTGAACTGAAGTAGCAAAAGCAAAAATCTTTTTGAAAAGTTTCAATCAAATTTCTTTATTTGAGTTTTACCAGTAGTGACACTAAGACCATACGTTTTGAACCATCAACCCACTTTTTTTAACCAGCTAATGAAGTTATCGCAATAACTTTTCTTTGCATGGCATTATGTAGTATCATCAGCGAAAAGAAACTTCTCGGATCCTTCTGCACTTTTAGGAAGACCGATTCCATATAATAAAAACGAAAAGGACCTAAAACTGCGGTACTTCCACATGACATATATCTGTTTGAGATCAGCAAAGCATGATTGAACAGCCATTTTCTTATCCCATTTTTTCTTAAAATATCTGTAAATTCAATCAATTCGTCCTTGCATGAACTTTTCTTTCGAAATCCGAACTGTTTCCAAGAAGAATCTTCTGTTTGTTAGCAAATTTTTAGATTCTTCCGAATATTATACATTCAAACATTTTGCTGAGTGAACTGAGTAAACTAGTAGGTCTATAAATTATAGACATTTTTAAACCCGCCCTTGAATTTGGTTTGTCTCATGGATTGTCGTGTGTCGTTGGTTTTACAGCTAGCTTTTTGTTATATTCGCCAATCTAAGCATCAAGGAGAAACTTATTGATTAAACTGGGAAATGCTTCAAAAAATCTTTCAAATAAAATGCGTGCAACGCTTCTTGTCGATTGGCTTGAGCATGTATTGCACAAGTGTTATAGATTCCTTTTAGTAGTGAAAGACAAATCCTATAAAAAATTAATCATCGCGTATAATATAGTCAATCTTTCTAATATATAGTATGGCCATCCCAGAACAGCTAGGAGATCGTTTTTTGATATTCACAAAACTAAAAAATATTCTGTTGGTGAAATATTTTGTGGACGATATTTTCAATGTTAAGAAAAACATATAGTCTTTAGTATGTTCAAAATATCCGCTGTAGTTTTGTCAATAGATATAGGAGAAACCCGCTGTTTCAGCTAGTTTTCGTAAGTTATGGTCGATTGATTATCTTTGTATTGTAACCATTTTAGTGTGGAGTTCTTGAAATCGTTGTTTGAATATGCTGTTGTATGTCGGATTTAATGTAAACACCTAATGATTGTATGTCTAAGTTTGAATTACGAGCAATTGCGCACATACTCTTAGGTGAAAGTTTTTTAAGGGTGATATTAGCGTAGAATATGGGGTGAGAAGATAATATTTATCTTCGTTTGGATTAAAGTGTACTACGTTGTGGCTATTTTCAGATCTACAAGGAACTGCTGTATCCCAAAATTGTTTTCGGCGAGACATGGTATCTACAAAAAGTACAATTTTTTGAATAGAACACTGGTATACCATAGAATGTTTCCTTCATAATCATTGAAATTAGAGTCGTTACATCAATAAACACTTTACGTGAGATTTTTTGAGTACTGCTAATGCCAGAGATTGTACTTGAAGTGTTTCTATTTCAGAGAGGAACATTTCTTGAAAATTTCTACTTAATGTATAATCTAGTTTCATATCAAGATGAAAATCAAGACTTTTTGGTTGACTTTTACCGCCAATGTTTCCGATATTTTAAAAAAACGCTTACTAGTATATAAAATTTTCGTTTTCTCTTTGTTGATATGAGTGTGCTCTATCAAGTATTACTTTGCCTGTCTTGATGTTGAAACCTTTATTTATTTCGACAAAAATTTCGTGTTTTGTGTACGTAAGAGTGGTTTGGGACAATTACATGCTTTTTCTGTTTTGGAGTAAAAAAATTTTTCTATATCATCTAATTTTTTATATTTGTTTGGATTTGATCTGATTAGATCAGGATTAATTTTTCAAAAAGTTTGGATTTGAAAAAAAAAATGTTTGTGAAGATTTATCATTCCTGCATGAACTTTAGCGACTTAAAATGCGGTTCATGTGTCTTCAGGGAACCAAACGATAGTTGCCTGTGATCGTGTAGTAGGGTTGCCTTATCCTTGATCATTCTTACAAAGTAAGCGGATTCTGTGATACAGCATGGTATCATCTTTTAAATCGCGGGTTAATTGTACTTTTTCTTTTTGAAATTTCCAATCAGAAACGTTAGTTCTTGGTAGCTTTTCTTTTTAGTGTTGGCCTGAACGTTTGATGGTTTATTGATTCCAATGTGTAGTAACCAATTTTTATCGTGTAGATCGTATGTTAAACGTCCGTGTGCGCCATGATACATGAATTTTTTGTCTGATTTTATTTGACCTTGATGTCGTTCAAGTTGTGCTTGGTGTGCAGAGTCTGGAAAAACTTGAATGTTTAATAATTTACGACTTGTGCTTCTATTTCAGACTATTTTTAAGCGTTGCAGTCCATTTTTGCAATCTGGGTTAAGATGTAAAAATATTTCTATGTTACGCGGGTAAAACGATTAAAGATCAAGTCTAATTTTATAACTATTTGAAACCTCCGAACAAGGTACTTTCTTTTCTGAGAATCTGGCTGTAAACTTATATCCTGTTAAAATTGTTGCTCGAGCTTTTCAGTAGAGTGTCGCTACTATCGTTGTTGATTCAATGTTTTGTTGTTCTGATTCGCATTGTGTTACTTGGTTAATTGACTATTTTTTTTTGTTGATTATCTTCGCAATTGTAATGGGTGACAAGGAGGTCTTGTGGGCCTCTTCGGGATGAAGGGTTTTTTTGATGTATGGGTTGAAGATGTACTAGGAGGGAAAGGTTTTTTTAAAATAATAAAACATACAACTGCATGAAACGCCTGAAAAGGGGTTAGAGAATGAAATAAAAACCAATAGTCTTTTTCGTAATTGTAGATAAGTTCTGTGGTGATAAATGGAGGAGGCAAATATTGAGCTGTTATATTTGGTAGAGATGGTGGTAATGGATGGTTTACTAAATTATTTATTCTTAGTATTTTTTAAATTTTGGGGTTAGGTCATTTTGGGTATAATGCTCTTGAATATCTTGAATTTGTATAATATGTACTTAAATTTCTTCATGAATATTGTGTCGATATGATAGTTTGTTTAGTGCCTAATTATGGAGTCGATCTTTATCGAGGTTTTGGCCAAAAAGTGGAGTGGTGCTACAAGAATGTTCCAATTTAATCGTAAAGGCTTACTTGTATCTTGAAGTTCGCGATATCTGTCGTCTAGATTTTTTGGGAAGTTTCTGGGAAAAGTACTAGTTGGTTTTTGACCTGTGACTGAAGGTGCTGATGGAAGTGATAAGGTTTCTGGTAACGATAGAGAGATATCTGATGAGTTATCTATCGGGTCGTTTACCAAATGAGATTTGCCTTGAGAAAATGTTTGTGTCATCCAATGAGGGAGTCTTTGTGATGGATTGGCGTGGTTAAAGGAGTTTTCTCGGATCTGTTCAGAAATTGACGTTGATTCCAAACAATCTTATAGATTATTTGAAGTATTTTGTTGAGAAATGGTTTGAAGTCATGAAGGGGTTCTTTGTAGTGTATTACTTGAGGGATCTAGAGGTGTCGATGATAGGGATGAGGGTATA